TATGCCAGATTCCAAACAAATTGAATTAACTATACCAGATGATTTTATGAATAAATTTCATTCATCTGATTATTGAATTTTCACATTAGTTTTTTGTTATTAGAAGGAAGTGTTGTATGGTGAACAAACACCTCAAAAAATTTTTTAATGATTACATACTATCTATTTTAAATTAAAGTGAACCTCCTTGTAATTTAACCTGATTGAAGTGACCTATCACCATGCCTCTTTATCATCATTTAGTATTATTTATTTATTATTTTATAAGTATTTTTATATTCAGCATTTATATTCAGCATTTATATATACTGTTTTAACATTTTTATCATCTATAATAATAAAAATTGTGAGACAAAAATCTGCTCACAGTAAATCTCAATATTTTATTTGTAATAATATGTCAACAATTTTAATACAATTTCTTCCAATTTATTTATACTAAATCATAACAACAATTTCCATGAATTGTATATTCATTAAACAATTATACTAAACAATATCTTTAGATTCACACTATATATCCTGATCACATTTCTTAATGGGTGTTCTTCTAGCTGTTTTCCTCTTTACTACCAAGTTAGGTACTGCGAGCATGCAATCCGAGTTTCCTAATTAATAGGTTATTTATAACTCAACACACAGCCTACTCACTGACTTATGGTTGATTCTATTGTTTGACACACAGCCTACTTGCTGACTTATGGTCAAAAATTAATAATAAAAATAACTTTTATCTTCCTGGATAAAAGGGCCCCTAGGTTCTATGTAAATGATTATATCTCAAAGGTGTCCCCTTGAGATTGTATCTGGATAATTAAAAGGGTTCCCAACTAATAATTAAAGGTTGGCCAGACCATTAACCATTAGAAGGGCTGGGGGGTCAATCACACTGGGTTTATTAGTTACTTACAATCAAAGACTATTTTATGTAAGGTTATATATTTATTAAGAGTTATTATTATGTTGTTGTTATCAAGGTTGTTATTAACAATATTAACAATTGATTTATTAATTATTATTATTATTAATTTGGTCTAAAGCCAAGTGTATTTATACCTTTTGGGGCAGTGATGTGTTCTATTCTACTCTCCAATAATATGCCTATCAACTAATTACTAATTCTAAATAAATATTTACATATAAATATAGAAATATGAATAGGAATAATCTTTCATGTGGCACTGCGCAATGTGCAGCACAGCCATTACAATGATATATAGAAAGATGGTCATTGATCATGATGTAATATTTAACACAACACATGACTTCCATAGTTAGTTTGTTCTAATTGGTCAATATTAACTGGGCAATTTATAGGTCCAAGACTTACTATCTCACAATACTAATTGTTTCAAAAAACTATTACTGAACCAGTCAATCCAAATAAGGTGTTGATGGATTTCATACTTATAATATTGGAAGTTTGGCAAAAAGAAGTAACCAACCTTTATTTTTAACAAAAGCAATCATTGAATTATTAAATCAAGCTGGTAATGAAAAATTATTATTTTTATTATAAATAAATAAATAAATATATTAATATTTATGTGTGTATCATAGAAATTGAAATTGGAGGTAAACAAGCAATTGTAATTGGGTGTAGTGATGTAATTGTGAGTATTAATATTACAAATAGTTTTTTTTTATAGAGGAAATTAAGGTTAATTGTGCCTTTTTCATTTTATTTTGTTATTAGGGAATTCCAACATTTTAATCATTATCTTATCTAGATGCTACAGTTACTTTGTGTCATTCCCAAACTGAAAATTTAAATGAAATTGCTTGTATCAAATCAATTACACACATTCTTAGTCACATTGATATGATTTATATTTCAAAGGGTAATATTATATATAAAATATACAGAACGCACGTGATAAATAAGAATTAATTCTTAGAGTTGGTAAACACTCTGTAATTCCTGCCGCCTCCAGCCCACAAATTTAATCATCACATCATTGATAAATGTCACGTTAGTTTTACAAAAATTTTGAGCTACAATTTAGTTTCCTTTTTTGTGGAATGAATTGCCATTTTTGATAGGTTCATAAAAAGAACCTTTCTGTATATAATATTTTCCTATTTCAAATATTATTTATATGTATGTGTGTATATTACAGGTTAAAATTGGAGATATTATTGTTGTGGCAATTGGAACCCAAAATTTATACAAGGTGATTGGATAAACCTGGTGTAATAATAATTGATGTTGGAACAAATCCTATCAAAGGCTAAAAACAATTATTTTAGTACACATACACACACACATATATACATGAAACTTTTTATTAAAAATATATATTATTTAGATACTAGTAAAAAATATGGTGATAAGATGGGTAGGAGATGTAGATTTTGTTGGTGCATCAAAAGTAGCATCTTATATAACTCAAGTTCCTGGTGGTGTGTGGGACCAATGACTGTTGCAATGTTATTACGAAACACTTTTGAAAGTGCAAAAAAAGATTTTCTAAAAAATAAAATAAAATAAGTTTTAATTGGATTAACACTTTTGGCAACTTCATAAATTTAAAATAGATATATATAGATATATATTATTTGTTTCTATTTTTTTGTGATATAACATTTTAAATTGAGAGATAAGAAATTAATTAAAAAAAAAACCAAGTATCAATAAATGACTGTTAATATGAATGATTTTGTTGGATCACATTGGAGACATGCTACATATTAGAAGAAAAACTTGAACAAGTTGATACAATTGATGTTATATAACTCACCCTACACCACAATACTGATAGATTGAGAAGAACCATAAAATCATGATCATCTAAAATAATATCATAATTAGTTAATACTGGAAAAGGGGAAATTGCATACCTTATTGTATGCAGCAGAACTAAGGTTTCTGGTCGAAACTGCTTCTATTAATAGCCGAAATTGCCCAAATACTTTGGGCAAAAATTATTTTTTTATAAGCCCAAACTACTTTTTGTTATT